TTTTTTATAATTTCTCAATCAGAATTCTATGGTGCAATAAATAATGGTATTAGAACTGTTGGTGCTGTAAAGGGAACTATGATATGTTCCATCTAGCATTTTTATCTTTTTAGGTTCACTTGTGCACACATGCATGCATGTCTTTGTGTTTTTTTTTTTTTGGGGGGGGGAGTGTGGGTTTTCTGTGAAGAAGTTTTTATATTTATAATCAGGAAGCTACTGACTGATCCATTAATTTCCAGGGCAACCTAGGCGCCACTTACTGACTACTGGGTGGAGTGTCTTTGTCAGTTCCAAGAAGTTAGTTGCTGGTGACGCATTTATATTCCTGAGGTAAGTTGATAAATAGCACTGGTTACTCAACATTTGGGCAAGGAAATTATATACCTGAATTTTCCCACTTTTGTTTTATTTCATATGTTGGATAATAATTTTTTTCGGCTAAATGTTACAATATTGCAGAGGTGAAAATGGGGAGCTGCGTGTTGGAGTTAGGAGGCTGATGAGACAGCAAAATAACATGCCTTCATCTGTTATATCAAGTCACAGTATGCATCTGGGTGTTTTGGCCACTGCATCTCATGCAATTGCCACTGGAACTCTGTTTTCTGTATTTTACAAGCCCAGGTTTTGTATTTAACAACATGCAATTGCTGTTTATTCTTGTTTATTTAGCTCATAATGTTAGTACTGTTAGTTTGTGGGTGTTCTCCATGTATTGTATGTATTCCTTCCATGTGTGAAATATATTTGGTTTCGAGATAATGTTTGTGTTTTTGTTTTTGGCCAAGATTTATATGCTCTTTTTGTCTCTTTATTGAGTGATAAATTCCTGCTGACTTATCCATGTTTGTCTTCAGAACAAGCCGATCGGAGTTTATTGTGAGTGTCAACAAGTATCTTGAAGCTAAGAGTCATAAGTTTTCGGTTGGGATGAGATTCAAGATGAGGTTTGAAGGCGATGAAGTTCCTGAAAGAAGGTGCATGAGCTGGTTGCCCTCAATTCACGCTTGCATGTTAGCTTGCGTGCCATCTAATTAACCTCTTCCACCTTGGTTACAGGTTTAGCGGTACAATTGTTGGGGTTGGAGATAATATCTCACCTGTCTGGGCTGATTCTGAGTGGCGCTCATTAAAGGTTAATATACACTATTTCTATTGTGCTGTTATGCCTATTTTATATTTGTAGTTGTTTTTATTCACTAGTTTACTGGTTTCTGTGTTTTGAACTGTCAATGATGATGAATTTCTGGCTTTTTGTTTGTTCATGATGGATTTATATCAAGTTCTAGAAAATTGACTTACGCTGTAAATTGACAGGCAACTTAGTTTGAATTTCTCCGGTTGAGAAAAATAGTCTTTTTGATATCACTTATCAGTGTATTGTAGGGAAACATTTGCTGCAAGACCATTTGCATTGCATTGTTGATATGTGAATGTATGTTACCATATTGTATGTTTCTGTTATATGCTATGAAGAAACATTGAATAACTCTGACCATAACATGAAAAATTTGGAATATCTTGTTTTGGTTTTATTGGTTGTTTGTTAGCACGCATCACAGATACACATGCATACGGAACCAGTTTGGTTTATTGATGTGTTCATCATATTTGGATACTTCATTTGGTTTTTATTTGTAATATCGGTTTTGCCAACTTTGGATACTTTTTTTGGCATTTATGTTCCCCCCTCTCTTTTCGTGGTAATGACCAACAAAAGAAGGTTGTATTTTGCCCCGCAGTTAAAATAAAGCTCAGGGTTAAGGTGCCCTACTCTGTGAACTCATTCTATGATACTTATCTCTATCCTTTAACCACAGTAATGGTTTTGGTATGTTCTATCTATCCGTATTTAATGACTTGTGTTGTTTTTCAGGTTCAATGGGATGAACCCTCTTCAATCTTGCGACCTGATAGAGTTTCTCCTTGGGAATTGGAGCCACTTGTGAATACCACCACTCCGGCAAATTCCCAACCAACCCAAAGAAACAAGAGGGCACGTCCTCCCCTCCTACCATCAGCAGTGCCTGATTCTTTGCAAGGTGATTTTACTTCACAAATTTCATTGCTGATTTTGTTATACATTATCTTTTTCTTTGATGCATGACTTACTTTGTTGGTTAATCAGGTGTCTGGAAATCAGTTAATAAATCTCAGCCATTCTCTTATGGTGATCACCAACATGCACGAGACCTCTATTCATCATCCAAGTTCAATCCTACTGCTGCTAACTTTCTAGGTATTGGCGGGAACAGTTCTATGGGTCCTGTTTCTAATAATGCAACTTATTGGTCCAATAGAGCGGAGAACTCTTTGGAGACAATGGCCCCTAAAGAATCCAGTGAAAAGAGACAAGGCACTGGAAATGGCTGTAGGCTCTTTGGGATCCAGTTACTTGAGAATTCTAATGTAGAAGAAAGTGTGTTGCCGATCACATTGTCAGGAAGAGTAGGAGATGATAGGTCTTCTCGATATGCTGTTGCTGAATCTGATCGGCATTCAGAACCATCAAATGTTAATTGTGCTGATGTTCCTTCAGTAAGTTGTGATGCTGAAAAATCATGTTTGCAGTCTCCCCCTGAAGCACTAGGCAGGCAAATAAGAAGCTGCACAAAGGTAGTAAGGCTGAATCATTTTGTTTTACTTTAGTTGGTGCTGAATCATTTGGTTTTCTATATTTTTATGAATACCGACATCTTAATAGTTTCTACTGGACGCCAATTTTTCTATTTACTTTCAGAGAAGTCATTTTGCCATTTTTTGAAAGTGGAACAAATCGTATGATATATTAACTCAAGCTTTTTTCATATGCTGCCTGATACGCAACATCATTATATTCCAGGTTCACATGCAAGGGATGGCTGTTGGAAGGGCTGTGGATTTGACTAGGTTTGATGGATATGAAGATCTGCTTAAGAAATTGGAGGAGATGTTTGACATCAAGGGTGAGCTTTGTGGATCCACTAAAACTTGGCAGGTTGTCTACACCGATAACGAAGATGATGTGATGATGGTCGGAGATATTCCATGGAAGTATGTTTATAATGGCAATCCGTTAGTTGCACTTTTTTATTTGTGTCATAAAATGTTGTTTGCACAAAGACTTGTGCCTTTAATTTGTATTGATGTGTACTTTTTGTAAATTTACTGCAGTGAGTTCTGTGGTGCTGTGAGGAAAATTTTCATTTACACACCATAGAGGAGGTGAAGAAGCTTTCGCCCAAAGCACTACTTTCATTTGGTGAAGAAGCTAAAACAGGCAAGCCAGACTGTGAAGCAGCAGTTAATGCTGAGGACCAGGATCAGTCGTCTATTGTGGGGCCTGGTTGTTAATACTTTTAGGATTTACACCCTAGTTGTTATATACAATAAAACTTGGTATGGAAGTAGGAACTATTGAGAGAAAAGAGATTGAACTTGGCAAGCATTTCATCTTGGCCTCTAGAAGGGCATGTCACTGGTGTACTGTGCTTGGGTGCTGCTGCCATAGCGTCGTCGTCTACTGTCTAGCTGCAACATGAGGTCGGTTTTAGTATGCTTCCGTTTGATCCTCCTTAGAAGTAGCCTTGGTTATTGTGGGGCGTTTTTTTAATAATTTTTTTATTCCCTGGATTTTGGCAAGTGTTTCATGGCCCTTGCTTGTTCAATTTTGAATGAGCTGCCAGCATGAGGAAATGTGAGTATGCCTGTGTTCATATACATTGTGAATGGCTTTTGTCTTTTTCTTCACCGTCTTTTGTTTTTGGCTTATTTACTTCTTGTTATGCCCTCTCATTTTTGTATATAAACATATAATCCTTGAATTTTAGTTGTATGTATATTGAGCCATTTTTTCCCCTTGAGAAGTAGCAGTACCGTTCCGGTGTTTGGGACCAGTAACTCACTCTGCCGAGCAGTTTTCTTTAATGGTCGACTATTCGGTGCTGCAGGTTTCTGTCCAGCGGCTTTTTAGCATCTTCTTAAGTTTTGGTTCATGTTACTTTCTTTAGTTAATACTTGTTTATATCTTTCCTGGAAGAAAATTTGTTGGCAATGTCTTTATTTTTGGGAAGGGTTCAAGGTACCTGTTTTCAGAGTGAGTGATCTGTAGATCCTGTTCTAGTTTTGGGTCTACGAGAACCAGAAGTCAATTTGTTATGAGATTTCTGATTTGATATATGTATCAGGAATGATATTGAAATTTCGGCTTGATTTCACCGGTTAGAATCTCTTCCCCTGCCCTTTTCTTTCCTTCATTTCCTTCGGATTTTATGGTACCTTGTACGTATTCTCTGGTTTCTTGTGCAAAATGGATTTTTGTCTTGTTAACTATTAATAGTTTTGTACTCTGCTATTGTTGTATTAAGGGATTAATTTATTAACACGGGATTATATAATATTTTCAACTGCTTGAATTTAGCTTTAGAATGTTTTTCCAAACTAAAATTCTTAAGTGCAGGAAAAACGGTTTTTTAATAGTTCGGGAAGGAAATGATACAAACTGAGATGTTTAATCGCTGGCGGGAAAAAAAAAAGATGTTTAATAAACAAATAATTAAAACTCTAAGCACGTGTGCCTTTTTATTCCCGTGATGAGTTTACATGTTTTCGTTTTGTCCTTTGAGCTGTAAATTTTTTTTTTTTTTTAAATGGTAGCCCGAGGGCCTGAAATGAATCTGAAGTATGGTTTAAAAACAAAAATGAAGGGATAAAATTAAAAATGGACGAGAAGGCCGACGATGGTTAATTTGCCGACTTAAGTACTAAAATGAAGGGCCTAAAATGGACCTAAAATGTGGGGTAAAGTTAACCTGGCTCTATGTTGTGGAAGATGATTGAGGATTGCTGGGCGTGTAACGGTCATAAATTTAAAAGTCGAAGAACGCGAGTGTACAAACCAGCACGCTCTTACCAACGGTTCATCCAATTCTTCTCTTTTCCCCAACGACAACACTTTATAGGCACAAACAACAAGAGAAATCCATATTGCACTTCGCGTCCCACTGAGTCTTTCCGAGTTCAAGTTCATCTTCCTCCTGCATCACCATGAGGAACATGATGAAAGCTGTGAAGAAGCTCAAGTTCTGGTCAAGAAAGAAAAAGAAAAGGAAGAACCATCAACCTTACTATCCTCTCCCACCTCCTTATCCTCCTCCACCTCCTCCCTGCCACCATTGCCACGCTTGTTCCTCCTCCACTGAGCCATCGTCGCTCCACCCTTACCGCCATGGCTTGAAGCTGAACAGAACTATGGGACCTTCTCGCAACCCAGTTTCGAACCTGCCCCAGAAGTGACATATCCAGGTCAAGCTCAGGTGCATCCACAAGAGAGTGCAGTGGAATCTAATCCGGTATTTAAAAATACGCCTGTTGAAAGAAGCTCATCCTATCAACAGTACATGGTTCCAGAACCTGTTTATGGCATTCCAATTACTCATACGGCTACACAAGAGAGATCAGGAGGCTTATTTGGGTGTGTTTTTGGCTTTGGGGCTCATTTATTTCGGTGCGTATTCCCTTGTTTTCACATTCGAGAATAGGTCTGAAACGGGTAAGCCTAATCATGCTAGCACAACCCATTCTTTCTCCCCCTCGTTCCATTTTCCTTAATACAGTGTTCAACTCCTTGGCAACTCCAGATTTGGGCAATATGGAAGAAGATGAAGCAGCGTTGGTCATCCTTCTGTGAATTAGTACTGTAAATAGGAATTCTACTTGGAGACAAGTTCCCATACAAATACAGTTTTGTTACTTTCATTTCAACTAATAAAGCGTGGTTCTCTAGTTGTGTGTGTGTTTGAATGGCTGTTGACTCACGAACCATAATGGCTGTAGAAGTGATTCAAAACTGAGTTGGGACGTATTTCAATTGTACTGTCCTAACAACAACTTATGCTCCCCCTATGCCCTGAAGTTTAACCGCAGAACATCCGGTTACTGGAATTATATTCGTTTTAGTGGCAATTTAAACCAATTAGAAAGTCGATCCCCAACCCGCACTCTCTCTGTTGTTCTGATAGATTAGATGAGAAAAACCTTACCAGTCTTTCTCCCATCTGCGGATTATAGTTCTTCCATATAAGAAATCTATGTACGAACAAGTGCATTGGCGACATTGTACTCAAAGTCTGCAAACTATAGCCCACAGAATGGAAAGAAATAGCCGATATAGTCCTCCACGATTGCAGAAACAGGGGATTCATTTGCGAGCTGCTACTCCATCAGAACAGTTCCGATATAAAGATGCAAAAGAAAAATTAGACCGAACCAGCATCAACGATAAGCACGATCAATGGACCAATCTCTAAATGGAATCAAGAACAAGATATGTGTGTGTGTGTGTGTGTATATTTCAAAGTCAGGTACATAATCATACTCCCCCTAATGTCGCCATTTTCCATTCAGTTAAATAAGTAGATTTACACCTCAGCCACCGGAAAATAACATTAGCTTCATCATAATCTGCCAATTGTCCAAGTTTCACGGCCTCCTTTCTAAATCGCGGAAAGAAGGCATATATTTTACAATTTTTCACTTGCATCAAAAAAATTGAAGAACAGTAAATAGATGTGCCACCGAAATTCGGCAAATAGCTTCATCATAATCTTATATTGCATGAGTTCTACCTAAGCGAATTCAGCGCTTCTCTGCTTCAAGCGGAGCCAAGATCGATGAAGGAGCAGGACCTCCCCCTCGATCCCGAGTCCAATCCCCAAACGCTAAGTCGAAGCAACAAGAATTCCCCCCACCTCCTCCTATTCCTTCAATTCACCCATCTCGTCGATTATGCCGATTAGAACCACGACACTCGCTATTCAAATCAAGAGATCCACCGCCGTCATTCACATCGTGACAGTGTGCACATCAACAATCCAGAAGATCTGTGACAAACGGAACCTTATCAGCATCTCTTGAAAACGAAGCATGCAAACCAAGCGAGACAAAGTCGAAGAACAGTTACACTTAAGGATTGGGTAGGGGCCGCGCGAACGCAGGCCCCCGCTTCCACAAATTATGACGTAGGCTCTCCCACTTGGGGAGACCTTAGGGTGACACCCCTCCGAAGTGCAATGGAGGTCGTCAACCTAGGCCATGGGCCTTCCTGATCACCCATTGACCCCGTCCAGGTAAGTATGTTGAAATTGTCGCCTTCCTTTTGCTTTTAAACCCCCCGCATCCCCACGCTCCTTTTCGTCCTCCCGATGTGGGGCTTCTAAGATTGCATCCCCACGCTCCCTCGCCTCTTCCCTTACAAGTAATTGAGGCGAAGTTATAGAAAACCCCTGACTTTACTACTACGGCTGTGTATAATTCTCTTAACATTTTTTTTGAATGAAACTGAATAGCAATTCTCAAAACAACAAAATGCAAGAGAGCAAGAACCTATCCTTCATCAACCTCTACCTGTTGGACAAGAGGGGGAGGATGATCAAGGAGCCAAATATTCCCACATAACCCATGAGAAAGTTTTACTAACCTATCAGCAATGGTCATATCCTCTCTTAAGTACATGGGAAACTATGACCTGCCAATCCTTGATTGCAGCTATACAGTCAGCAAATAAAATAATTTTCCTGTATCCTCTTGTCCAGCATAAAGTGAGGTCATGAATAACACCTAGTAATTCAACAATGGCGGGGGAACTGAAGTCATTTTGTAGCTAAAACCACAGATCCAATGATCATTGTTGTCACAAATGAAACCCCCACAACCACTTCTTCCATTGTCCAAGACCGAGCCGTCTACTGCCACCTTGATAAAATCATTCGGATGCTTATCAGAATGAGTATTAGATGGTTGACTCTTGCTTAGTTGAAATCCCTGCTTCAAGAGGTCTTGATCTGAGCAGGCCTTAAAGAAGCTAGAATTTGCATTGATTCCTGTGTTAGTGGTTTCGCTTCCAAAAAGTATGTTATACCTTGTCACCCAAATATCCCAGCAAATGTAACCAAACAAGGTGGGCCATGGTACTTTCTTGGTGAAATCCAAACCGATGTCATTTGTTAGGTTCCATTTCACCCAATCCGCTCCTTGAAGTGAGGTAAACATAGTCTATTTGTCAGTTCTGACCATTGACTTCCACCGCTTTACAGTATTCGAGCAATCCTGCAGTACATGCATTGAATTTTCCTAACATTTTAAAGTTTAAATCATTATCTTGATTTTTTTTTTTTTTTCTTATTATGGACTTTTTACTGTGAACTCATTGTTATCCTGTTAACAGAATTTGCTACGTCAGATCAACATAAGGCAACTCACATCCTATGTGGCATTTTACATGAAATCTTATCTTAATTAATTTCATAAAACTCTTATGACATTTTAATACTAAATCCCCTTTCATTATTTTTTTTTTCCTTCTTAATGCTTATCAAAACCAACTCATTACTTTCACTGTACATTTTTATAATGTTATGATCTTATTTCACAATCTTAATAATTTATTAAGATTTTGACTATCGTTTATTAATTGAGTAGCAGTTTTTGTGTGGCAAAAAGTAGAAGGAAAATATTAGTTAAAAATTTATGTTGACAAAAATATAAGAATAAAATGAGTAAGGGTTTTTTAATGATAAATGACATTTTAATCCTTATATAAAAATAATATAATTATTTTAAAATAATTATTTAGATAGGATGCTATGTAAGATGTAAGGTGTCTTATATAATATGATATAACAAATTTTATTAAAAAGACTACGATAAGTTAAAGGCAAGGTAACCACGACAAAATAATAAAATTCATAGGGTTAAATTTATAAGGAATTACAATCAAGTCTCACAGAAGAGAATAATTACCAAAAGGTCTTAATAATAACCTCAACAGCTTATAATGACAAGTTCTATAGTAAGAATAACAATATTTGAGACTTGTTTTTCAATTTTTTTTTTACTTGGGACCTCATTGTAATTCTTTTCTAAATTTAAACCTTAAAATGTGAGAAGTTATATGCAACTGACAGGCATCCCCATACTTCCTTCCCGTCCTCCCAACGTGGGACTTCTATTTTTTTTTTTTTGCGTTACAGGCGGCAAGCTAAAGAGCTTGCAAAGGGAACTTTAAAAACGCAGACTCCTGATTTGGCAATGAGCTAGGCCCCGCCATCCTGGTTTTATTTTTCCAAAGGCCTTCCCTGCACCACGATAGTACTTCTGGATACAACCTGACCTGATGATTTATAGCTTGAGCTGTCCGAGCCATGCTGTCCGCACAGTGTATAATGTCTCTGTCCGGTGTGGGACTTCTAGTACATTACATCCGCACGCTCGCTAACTTCTTGCCTTGCAAGTAATTAATTAGACACCCCGTTTTTGCTAATTTCTTACGCCCTTGAATTACTTCTACTGTTCGGTTAAATCCTCAATATTCATAGGCTAGTGTAGAATGAGATTACAGCTTCAAAATAGAGGCGTTCTTCACCATCCTTGCTCACTCTCAACCTTCGTCTTGCTCCTCTCACCTTCTCCCTTGACCTTTTTCAGTTTCACATCTGTATATCAAAAGCACAATGTTTCAGTACTTGTATGGGTTCTCTTGTTTCTCTCACTCCTTCGTCGACTTAGGCATGGACAAGGAACAATGCACTCATCTTCTTTCGTGGCCTCAAACCCATTCTTCATCGAAGCACAATTATTGAACCCCATGAAAGCCCTCCTTCATCACTTGCGTCGGCAGCAATGGTTTAGCAGAATCTTGGAGGTAGAGAAGGTTGAAGCTGGGGGCATCAATGGCGGATCAGATCACTGGACAGCAGCATATAACATATTGGTAGATATTGATGTTGCTCATTCATTGGATTTGGAAAAACGGATATTAACTATATAACAAACTGGACAGAAGTTGTCCCTAGAAAAATTCATATTCTTTATTGTGTCCCACAATTTTAAAATGAAAGGCTTGCTTATAATTACGTCATGGGTGAAATTGGAGATATACCTACAAGGCTTAATTCAATGCATGTGCAGTGTTTGAATTTATTTAAGAAAGTTAGCAAACTAGTTTAACCCCTCGGGATGAATATTATGGCCTATGCGCTAGTAATTAACTCTGGGCCAAAACTAAAACCAATTGATTTTTGTCAAAATTTAGACTTTTCTGGTTAACAAATTACTACCTCCGCTCCTTAGTATAAAAACTAATTGATTAATTTGAGTAGATTAAGAAAATTAGTTAAATTAGTTATTTATAATAAATATATGTTATCTTTTCTAAAATATCCTTACTAATCAAGTAGATGGGCTAGAATCACTATTATTACAAGGATTATTTTAAAAAAAAAATATGAGAAATAAAATAAATTGAGGTTTTATATTTATGATTAAAATAAAAATCAAATAAATTCTTATGTTAAGAACAGAATGTAATATATTGGGATTATAGTATATGATGGCAAACTTATACTAATCGGAGAACGATGGGATGGCGATAGACAACGATAGACAGTCAATTCTGCCTAATGTAAGCTCATGGACTAAAAGTTATGATGTAGAGCACCACCTCTTCCTCTTTACAAAATATGCACAATTATGTGGAAAATTTCAGTAGTAGCAGCTCAAAATTTTTTAGAATTTTAAAAATTAGTTGTTTAGGAGTGTTTGAAAATTGAGACCAACATGCTGAAAAGGGTTAGAGATTATTCCCAAATTTGTGGATTGTTGACCTTCTAATTGCTGGCCTGACTATGAAATAATACAACAAATGTGATCTACCAAGTGAAATCCTTTGGGGGGAAAAAACAGTGAAATAGTGAAGGGACGAAGCTCTCACAAGCGTACTTTTTGGGGTTATTTTATGACCTACCAGACTCGACCACAAATAAAACAAAGCAGCCAAAATAAAATATAGTTCTTTGTGTGAGAAGAGAAGAAAAGGAAAATGAATCATTTGGTTCTTTTGACATGGAACTGAGTATCCTGTTTTATTTTTTTCCTAATATACTCACCCTATTACCGATATTTGGTTCCAGAACCTCTTTGTGGCTTTCCAATTACCCAAACGTCGACGACGGAGAGGTGGGGATTGGGGGGGATTATTTGGCGTGTTTTTTTTTTTTTTTAAGCTTTGGATCTCATTTATTTCGCTGCTTATTCCCTTGTTTTCACTTTTGTGAGTCTGAAGTGGGCATACGTGAACTTGCTATCACAAGCACTTCTTTCTCCCTTGTTCTTTTATGTTACAAGCCCTTGGCGACTCCCAGATTTGTGAAACAATGTACAAAAGGTGAAGCAGTGTTGCTCCTCCTTCTTTAGATCAGTACTGTG